TTTTTTTTTTTTTTTTTTTTTTTTTTTTTTTTTATTTGGAAGTTTCTAGTAGCAAGCTAATTTGCAATATACAGAACAGAAAGTGCTGTTGACAAGATTAGTTTTTTAAAGTAATGTTCCAGGAAGTTTCATACTTCCAGTTGGCCATAGCTAAGTATCAATTTTTTCTATTATCTAACAAACTATAATTTAATAAACATCCTTCTTCCTTATTTTTGCCACTTTAATTGGTGCAATGATAGTTGCCGACAAATTTAACGACCATTATTTGTTGCATTGTTGTTCAAGAGAATTTTTTTCTTTCGTGAGGGACTACTTATGCTTGCCTGCACGGCTATCGGCTTTTATAAACTGTGCACTAGTATAATAGAAAAAAACTTCTTTCCAGTAAACATTCCCAATCTTATTCTCTCACTGCTTTTCTTTTTGGTTTGTTTATCTTGCTCATTTTGATTCAGCTCCGCCTATTGACAGTCCAATCCAAAGTCACGCTTACAGCAAATTTTTGTAGCGACCAGCAATGATAAGATTTTAGTAAGGAGGAGTGCGACGCTTACAGCGAACTTCTAAGAAGTTTTGTCAAATTTATTTCAGAGAAAAGCAATTGCTTGTTTTTGTTACAGTTCTGCAAACAATAAGCGACCTGGAACATTCAAGAAAAAGTGCAACTTTATTAAGGTAATGCTACCTTTGGCGATTCATAGTGAGACGAGGAACTTTGCGGTAGAAAGATTTGGGAAGTTCTCAACATAGTTGATTTTTGTCAGACGGTTTCAACGTTAAAGTGCAGGAGATGTCGTTGATTATATACTCAACGTCGTTGTCTTCACGACTACCATTGTTCCTTTCACAGCGAGTAGATTTTTAGAATTATAAACAAAACGAGACACTTAGCTAAAGGGCTTTAATTGGCTCAAAGCAGCTTTAAGTGCTCACAGTGAGCAAGAAGATGATCCAAGCAACAGCAAAAAAAAAAAAAAAAAAAGTGTTATATTATGATCTGAAAGTCGCGAAGCTCTGAGAAAACCATAAAAGTATTTAGAATTTTTGCTTGTAATTAGTCTAACATTGAAAAACAAAGTTAGCTATTTACGCACCTAGACCACTGCTTTTACGTATCTACAAACTGCAGTAATTGGTGCTCTTAAAGTTAACACTGATAAAATATGTTTATTCTTCAAAGTTTTCAACGACTGAGAGTTTTATAAATAAGGGTGCTGCTTCCAGTGAAACACCTTTTTTCCTGCTTTTTCAAGTATCTTGGGAACACCACAAGAAAGAAGTACGCGAAAGAAGAAAAATACAGAGTCAAAAAATGAAGGAAAAGAAGAGGAATAAAAATGTATGTTTAATTACACACAAAACATATTTTTTCAAAAGTCTTAAAAAATTATGTTAAAAAAGGTTTCAAATGCTTATTATTCTTTTCAAATTTTTTCGACATCTCTTTTACTTTTATCCAGAAACATAAAATTCATTTCTCAAATTAAGCAACAAAACTATAAAATAATCAAAAAAACCGTAGAAAAAGTAAACAAAGTGTATGTTCTTCTTTCACTTCTCAATTTTTTGTTTTTTTCTTGAAAAAAAAGGGGTTTGAAAAAAATAAACCAGAGGAAAGAGGGTAGCGGAAAGCTCAAGTGTAAGATAACAATAACTTACGCAAAAGAAAAAAGCAGTTTAAATAAGCAAAAAATAAGGAAAAATTTAATACCAATTTCAAAATCTTGCGTTACTTCCGATACTGAAGTAACCTCCTGAATCCAAAGCTCAATTCGTACTTGAACTGGATATGCTGGTAGTATTTGCCGATTGTAACCAGATGCAGTTTTGTTTAGCAGATAATCCATAATAAATGTATCCTTGCCGCATTCTGCGTTGACGGTAGTGGCCGCCGCTGAGAAGATGCCGATAACTAGCAGCAAATCGCCAGTGACGTCTATAGATAGACAACGACGAGCAAACGACATCCTCTTGTTCAGCGTCTGGGGCATCGACTTGAAAGGCTCTGCTTGATTGAAATTAAACAGCGCCAGAAGCAGCAAGAGCAGAGGCGACGATAGTAGCAGTAATGGGACCAGCAGAAGGAGCAACGGCGGGAGGAGCAGACGGGATGTTTGCTCTTTATTTGGCCGCCGAAGATTTTATAAGAAAACTCATTAGTGTGAGCACTGAGTGCAGCATAAAGATTGCTGCCCAAAAACAACTCATTAAGCCTTTTTTTAATACTTTTTCTTCTTAAACACTCTTCCTCTTCAACGTTTTTTCAAAAAAAAAGGGCTTTCAAGAGAACAACACCAGAAACGTTGTAGTTCAGAAGAACTATGCTGTTCGACTTTTTTTTTCTTTTGCTGCGTTGCCATCGCCGGCATTGTTGCAGTTGCAATCCAATGAAAACATTATTTATGCTTTATTTCTTAGTAAAACTTGTAATTTTTTACCTTTTTTTACTTTATCACTTCGTTTAACGTTATAAAAATGCACCACAGAAAAAAAAGGAAGAGAAAGAGAAGTAAAATTGATTAAAAATGTGCTTGAAAACAATAACTGCATTTGTTATAATCTTTTTCATGCACATTTTCTCATTGCAACAACTAAATATTGCGATGAAATTAAAGAAAAGGATAAAAAAAAGAAAGAGAAACGAATAGGAAGGTTGAAAATAGAACATATTTTTTGTCAATTTTAATTCGCTTCGATTTGATCAACGGATAAGCCAAAATAACACTGCAGGGTTCATTTTACTTGAATAGCATCACTTTGGGTAGACCCGAATTAACTCTCTGAATTGAGAGCTCTTTGAAATGGGAATTGAGATAAACATGTCAGCTGTAGATTAGGTTTTGAATAAAAACATCATGAATGAATGTGGGTGTTCATCTGCACAAACATGCTGTAGTGATTCATATATTTTGTTAGTTTGTTTTTTTCCATTTTCTTCCTTCTATTTCCATATTTTTTTTGGTTTTATTGCTTTTATCAATGACGTTGTCGGACTCTGTTCAACTGCTTGGCCAGCAAACAACCTAACTATGTAGCCTGCCGCAAACGTCAAGCACTGCTGCAGTGGGCAACGGTCCCAGAAAGCCAGCTGTAAGCAGCCAAGTAACTAGAGTAAAGTTTTATAAGCTGATGTGCCGCTACTACTGAAATTTGCACTTTTCTGTAGTCACATCTCATCTTTCGTATGCGAGGCTGTTCTAAAATTTAACATCTGATGAAACAGACACAGACAATGCTAAAGAAACGAGACGACCAACATGGGGAATATAATTGTAATATTCGTAAAAGTTAATTTTTTTTTGCTTGCCTTGTGTTATTACTCAGTTCTGCAATTCTTTAAACAATTAATTTTCAAACTACGACAGAAAAAAAAATGTTTCAACTATTTTCTTTTTAGTTTTCAAGTAGTAAAAATCACGCAAGAATTGACAGCTTTTGAATGCTGTTGCCGTTCAATACAAAGAATAGAGCTAAAATAAAGCGAGAAAAAATGGTGATGATGATAAAACTGGTATGCTCAAAAATAAAATATTTTTGGTCTCTAATACAGCTGGTTGTTGACTGCCCAAGGATCAGGCGTGAAATTATTTGGACTTTACCAAACAGCTGAGTCTGCAACTCACAACTTTCAAGAGTCGCACGAAACCTCAAACCAAATTACTGCCTTTTTCAAAAGTCTCAATCTGTTTGTGCAAGTTCGTACTTTGTTCAGTTTAGACTTTAACCAGCAGAGAGGTATTTATCTAATGTATAATGTGACTAACTTAGAGTAAAACTGTTTTACAAAAGATACATGAAGCAACAATTAGTCTAAGATCAAAATTTTTAAAATACACGAGTTATAGCAGGCATTAAAGTCTACTGCAAATTGTATGGCAGAATTTCAGCATGTGTTATCTATTTATCATTAATTCTACAAACGGCAAAAAAAATAACAGTGGATAAAAACGTCAAACCAAATAGACGTAAAGAAATAGAGAGGGAAGAGACAGTTTTTGTCATAACAGTTATCCTAAACTTAGTCAAAACAAGTGCTTTTCTATTCTGCTTTAAAGCCAATACAAATTTGTCACTTTTATTCATTTTATTAACTGTAATTAACCTTTGAGAAATAACAGCTCAGAAAATAAATTATTGTACTTTATAAATTTTAATCTGCAATACTTTATTTTGCTTTTGCTATCATTCTTTTATTTTACTACAATAAAGATTAGCAGTCACGCGCTTTTTTCCCTCTTATGTACAACCACTACTGGTTTTTTCAGCTTCGTTTCACCGAAAGTTACTGCTACGGTCGCGTAGCCGTCTAACTCTGGTGTCACTTAATATCAATACAGATATTGAAAAACCTAACAATCGTATTTATTTACAGATGGAATTTTTTGCTTTTTAACTTTTTACCTCTTTGTTATGACTTCTTCCGCTACTGAAAAAATAGAGTAGAAATACACAACAAGAAAGTTCAAGTCACCTTTTTGTAAAAAGCTTTCACCAGTGTTTCTAACGCTTATTATAGTCAATGCTGTCATCCGTTATTATTGTTTCCGGTATTGCTGTTTTGGCTGTTATCGTCACTGCTATTTTTGCTTCCATTGCTAATTTCGTTACTACAATTTTTAAAAAGCTATTTTAATTGGAAAAAAAGACAATTTTTTTTGTTTTTTATAAGAGTATTTTGGATATGTGCAAAACAGAGTTTAGTTCTGCAGCGAGAAGCTAAAAAATAAAAAGTGAAAACTTGTGTTGGCAAAAAAACATTAAATTTGATTTATACAGCTGGAAAAGTGATTTGCAGCTTTAGTCGGTGTCGTTTAAAGTTAATAGTTATTTTTCTGCGCTTTATCGGTAGTCTCAGACACAATTTACGCGCCCGTACGACTGAAGCCCAGTTGGAGGCCTACACGCGCAACCGACGAAAAACGGCAGTCATTTTGTTGGCGAGTCCAGCAACGGTTGATTATTTCTCAGTCACGGCATCTACAAGATTTTTAAATTAGGTAGACCACTGGCTTTCTAACAGCAACAATCAGAACTGAGACGGCGTTAAGAGCGACAACAACAGCAACAATTTAAAAGTTAAAAATAAAAATTTATAACATTTCAAATCTGCCTAATTTATCAAACAACCCAGTGTTGTTTTTTTCTCTCCTTTTCTAGTAATTGTTCTGCTCTGAAAAAGTAGCAGAAATAATAAAAAAAAAGTAAATAAAGAAAAACGAACATAATGATTTTTATTTTAGTTTTTTTCAACAATTTTTTTAATTTTTTTTGATGTCCAGTAAAGTATGAGCAATCATGCTTGTAATTGTTTATTTGCATCTTATTTTTATTTTATTTTTGCTTCTAGATTTAAACACTTTTATCATAAACTTCATAATAATGCTTGGTGGCTTCCATCGCTGTTTATTTTCACTTTGCGTGTTACATTGAAATCTTCAAATGATAAAAGAAGTTCCATTTGTTATCTTTTTATTCTTCTTCTGTTTTCTTTGCATTTTTCCCGCTTTGGTTCTTCTTCTTCCTCACCATTCTATTGAGGTGACTGAAAAGAAAATAGAAGAACCTTAGCTGTTGACGGTTAAGCGTTACATCATTGTGAAGCATTAGCATTTGGATGTGTACCAAGCTGTTTTTTCGGTAAGGCTTCTGTATAGTTCACAATTTTTACCAAAATTAACGTTATCAATAATTGCTATTGCGTCTAATAAGCGTCATTTAACATCTAATCGCCGATATCTGTTTTGACGTTGATTTTTCAAAGTAAAGATTAAGCAACAGAAAAAGACAACTTATTTTGTCTTCGTCTTCTAACAGTTTGCTGATTTTAACTTTTCAGCTATTTTTTATGTATACAGCTTATGCCCTGTTACTAAATGAAAATTTTTTTTTTATATTTTAATAACCGGTTATTTTTACGACCTGTCCTAATTGATTTCATGATTCATCATTATTAAAAGCTTTGTGCTATAAATATAAAGTTGCATGGCAAATAGCGCAATCAAAACCTAATCTGAAATTAAACAAGACAGTAGTTTTTTTGATAAACTTCTGCAGCTTCTTCTGGTTTTTTCTAAACTTGAAAAAAAGATGTAAGGTTCAAAAACAACAATTTTTTTCTGCATTTTTTTTGTTTAAGAAATTGTTGTTAAGACTTTTTTTTTAGATTCAAGCTTTTCTAGTCATTTCAGAAAGCAACTGGTAAAATTGTAAAAAATTTTTTCGAATAATTTGATAGAGAAGTAATGTGTCAGAGAACAAAAAACTGCCGTTATCGACCAGTGTTAAAAAATCATGAATTACTGGTGGCACGATAAAGACATTTTAGTCGCTGAAGTTGAATTTGTTTCATTTATCGTCTTTTTTAAACAAGAATTAGTTTACAACAGTTCACAGGGTTCGTGGTAAAAAAAAAAACAGTTCTTGGTTTCTGCCACCTTCACTCAAAGTTCCTCACCACGACACTTCACAATTTTTTTCTATCACTCACAATACTTTTATTTATTCAAATTTGGTCAATAAATAAGTCGGTAAAGAAACAGTGTCAGTCATAATTAGCAAACTTTAAGTCATCAGTAATAAAGTTGCTTGTTTGTTTTTTGTTGCAGTAGTGAAATTATAGTCGATTGAAATGTTGCGCTTTTCAATGTGAATTTTGAAACTCTGCACTGACTATATACATTCTGATAGCTAAGCTATTGACAGTAGACGGTTAAGGTAAACTTTAAGTCTAATTAGCCAAGAGTAACAATAGGTTTTATTGACCATTTGTTTGCTAAGGTTAGCATTGAACTTTCAAGCTGTTTAAGCCAACAAGCTAGCGAGTGCTGGCAGTTTAATCACTGTATAATGCTGAAGGTAGCTTGTGAAGGCGAAGACAGAGCAAAAGAAACGGAAGAATAAAAAGATTCTATTGTAGCTTTAAGAATATAAGTGTGATTTTGGCTTTTTGTTGTAATAAGATAACAATACTGTATTATCTCTTTAAATTTAA